TAAATCGATGTAGATGCTCGTGCCTGCGCATAATCTAATTTATCTGAGAACACATGCAAAGATGTTTGACCAGGTTCTCTGCATTCAGTCTTTTAGCAATCTCTACACCCTTGTTTCGACCTCAACAAATAATGCAAATTCCTTTCACATAATTGCATTTTTCAAATTGGAAAATAGATCTACAGATTTGACGAAATGATCGGGCGGCCCGGCCGGGCAAGGACCAGGGAAGGTACCGGCAAAAAAAAAAACAAAAAAAAACAACTATGTTATGCAGAAAAATAAACTGAACAACTTTTGCCTCAGGATCACATCAAGATTTTTTACCATTTTTTATTTATTTATTTATTTATTTTGGCCCGGCTGGGCAAGTGGTCCCGGGCCACTCTGGCAGCCTAGTTTTTTTGTTCCAATTTGTTGCAAATATCTCTTGTGCAATCAAAGAAGCATGTCACCCTTCAGTAGCTTTCACACAAATCTGCAAAGAACAATCACAGAAAATCACCGTGCGGAAACAACACTTGCACACATGAGAAATATCAGAATAGAACAAATCAAAGATTGGCCCAACAAAATCTGATACAAGTTATACAAGCCATTCTGTGGGGAGAGTTTATCTGCAACAGTGAACAAATCAAAGATCGACCCAACAAAATCTGATACAACCCATTCTGTAGAGAGGGTCAACAAAAGTTACTCCCCTGACCCAGCAACTTGGCACATTATGAAAATATTTTCACAAATACGAATTACGGATTCGCTGCCTGAATTATCAATTTCAAGGAACTCCATCGTTCCCGTGGTGTGCATTTCTCGTGTTCACTTAACTGAAAAATTAACAAAAACAATTTATTTCGATTTCGCCAAAAAAAATCCAATATCACGAATAGAACAATCAACTTCGCTGTGCAACTCTTGTTAAAACAATTTCCCGAGGTGTAGCATCATCCAGAGTCCGCAACCATATGCTTGACAACTCACCCCAGAATCAGAAGTCAATATACATGCCAGAATTTGCAGAGGGAAGAAAAGTCATGTGTTGGTTTGACAAATAAAAGTAAACAAGAGGATACCTGAGAGAGAGAGAGAGAGAGAGAGAGAGAGAGAGAGAGAGAGAGAGAGAGAGAGAGAGAGAGAGAGAGAGAGAGAG